CTGTGCATTAGTGGAGAGTCCTCTGAAGGCAGCTGTTATTTCATTCACGCACTCATCTGTTACCTGCTGACTCCTCATAGTAAGTCTAGCCAAGTCAGCTGTTAAGTTGTCCATACCATCGCTTGATAACTGGTAACTTTTGATTGACAGTCCAGCCATGGCAGCTGCCAACTCGTCCATATAATTCTTAAGAACGTGGTGACAATACTACAAAAAAGTGTATATATTAGGTCAGTTAACCTTGAAGAGCTAAACAGTTCAAGTGGTAAGTAACTAAGTATTTGCAATGAATAAACATAGAAATGATCACTGTCATATTATATAATCACTTAATATGGAGATAAGTAAAACTGACACAGACAGTTTAAACTGCTTGTTAAAACGCTATTGCTTATTGTGTTTTCTCAGCACACTAACATAAATAAGGATGTATAATATAAAAAACTAGAAAACGATATAGTATTTTCAAGTCTTACTTTAGTATGGTAAAATTAAGAATAAGTCACATTAAAGTGTGTCATGATTTTCCGTAAAAAAGTCAAGTATAGTTTGTCAAAAGAATATGAAAAAATCATTTTGTAGAGTAGTATGTTGAAAATCTCAGTGTTTAACTGAACACACCTACATGTGATAACGCCTCGAACAAAGGGGTAATTAGCATACAAAGGGGGGTCACTAGCATCAGTGCGGGAAAGGTGCTACGGGAATGAACTTTGAGGAGGGGGAACTTGTAAGAATTTCCAGCTTTTGAAGACAATTATATGGTACCCGTCCTTACAGCTAAACAAATCCTATGCCAGGTATTCAACAGACCACAAGAAGCACAAGAAGCCCCAGAAAGGATTACATTCAGAGCTAATAATGGTGAAACCGAAGAAGAAGCAAAGCAGATTATAATCGTTGCGGGTGAAAGGATAGAGAATTTGCAAGTGATGTTAATGCACTTATCTGATATAAAAAATGCATTCATTTACTTCCAAGAGACCCCTAAACATCTACTTGGGCAATGTGAATTGAACGATAAACCGATCACTGTAAATGAAACGCAGAGAGAGGCAGCAGTGCAAATCGTTAAGTCTATTGCCTTGTATGCACTACGACATTAACTTGGTCAAATGTAATATGTCTTTCTGAAGATGTGGCGAATGGTGTGTTTTTCAATTAAACAACCATAACAAATGAAAATGTGTTTTATTTTTGCTTTCATATATAGTAATAGTATTAACTCCTCTGACTAGACTGTACTAAAATAAGACGTTTCACTGTTAAATAAAAATGGAAGTAGAAAATCGAGATAATGATGAGGCTCGTTATGTATCCAGTAACTATGAACAGCAGTTTGAAAATGTTATTTAACCGTTTAACTCTAATTGACAAATCTAAAATAGCCTCTAGCTTATCTATAAGTTTGTGATTTTAACACTTATTCACTGACACAAGGCAGATTATGGCTTTTTTCTCTTGCCAAGATACTTTTAGACACACTCTGAGGTATGCAAAACCTTAAAACTAGAAAATGAAGTACATTGTCTGATTAGTTTTTTCGTAAAGACTGTTTCTCTAAAAGGCAAGTTTGTGATTTTTAACACTTATTTACTGACACAAGGCAGATTTTGACTTTTTTTCTCTTTTCATGTGTTACCAAGATACTTTTTTAGATACACTTTTATGTATGCAATACTTAACAAAGGGGTATAATATGAAGTACTTTGTAAGGGAATGGGGGTTTCTTTAATACCCCTTTTTTTATTTCTAAAAAACACTTGTACAGTTAAATAATGTAGGTTTTTCTCTGATATTCTAGTTATTTTCAGCTACCAAGATACTTTTGTTGATACACTTTTATGTAGGAACATTTGGCAACTGGTAGAATGTCAATTATTTTGTAACAAAAATGTATTTTCTTAAAGACTGTGACTCTAAAAGGGAAGTTGGTGATTTTAACACTTCTATTTTTCCCCCGTTGTCTTTCACTTACTGTTTTGATACAGTTGTATGTATGACAACTTTACAACTGGTAGAAAGTTAAGTACTTTTTCTTTCATATTATTTTAACACAACATTACTTTTTTCATATTTTTCAACATACTGTGATATATATATATATTTTTTTTTCTCTCCATTATATTTTTGAATATACAGCAAACTCCTGGACTACTATCGTCACCACCATTGTGGACACCCACATATTGCTGTACTACTGCTGCTGATGTTACTCCTGGGGCCAAGACGTCTCTGTTTCTGAACATAGTGAAATCGGAGTTGGTTGATATTCTGGAGAGGGTGCTGCATCGGTACAGAGAAGAAATCTGCAATGGATGTCGAGTCAGCCACCCCAGTCAGAGGCAACACGATTGTCTGAATGACATTCCAGAATATTTCTTCAGAAACAATTACAACGCGTTAATGAAAAGACTTTGGCTCGCCGACTTCATTACTGTGATTGACCAGAGTCTTAATGATAAAAACATTTACACGGCTGAATGGAGGATCCAAGGCGCTTCGGAGGCTTTTCTGCACAACCTCAAAAACTGCAGACGCCTCAAGGAGAGACTTGAAAAGATCCATGCCGAGCTGGATGGAGAAGAAGAAGACTAATAACCAGCGGTTGATTGAAGCCAGGGATTTTTATTTTATTTTTTTTTTCCGATACTTTGACTTTTCTTTAAAGTAAAATTTAAAAAAAAAAGGGATAACTACTATGGAAAACAATCTGTATATATTTATCAGAATGCAGTCAATACCTGTTTAATAAGTGTGTTGTTGATGACGATTGAAAACAGAATGAATAGTGATCCCCGTGTAAACAGAATGGCTGAAGTTTGTAAACTAGAAGACATTTTGGATATCGTTCATTCTGGCAGTACTATTCCGGGTCATTGGGAAACGATTGTAAACGAAACATTTAAAGTGGTACTGGAATCTTCATTTTCCGAAACATTCTGTAACATTAGTCAAGTCATAGTATAGTTTGACAAAAAGATCTTGAAAAAGTCATGACATTGTGTGTTGAAATGGTTTTGAATAAACACATCAGTATTTAAAAAAGTAAAATTGTATCAAGTGCATCAGACAACTCAAATTACTCCATTTGAACCATATTATAAATAAGTAAAGAATGGTCATAGTATATAGCAGGGCTGTTTAATAGTTTTCTGTGTTCTGTGTTTCAGTGTGTCAGTGTGTGAGTGTTTCAGTGTTCTGTGTTTCAGTGTTGCAGTGTTTCAGTGTTGTGGGTGTCAGTGTGTCAGTGTTGCAGTGTTGCAGTGTTTCAGTGTTTTGTGTGTCAGTATTTCAGTGTGTCAGTGTTTCAGTGTTTCAGTGTTTTCAGTGTTTTGTGTTTCAGTGTTTCAGTGTGTTTGTGTTTCAGTGTTTTCAGTGTTTTGTGTTTCAGTGTTTCAGTGTGTTTGTGTTTCAGTGTTTTCAGTGTTTTGTGTTTCAGTGTTTCAGTGTTTTTGTGTTTCTGTGTTTTTGTGTTGCAGTGTTTCAGTGTTTTCAGTGTTTTGTGTTTCAGTGTTTCAGTGTTTTTTGTGTGTCAACGATCAAAATCGAGCAAGGGGGGCCAGAGATATAGAAAAAAAAACATTTTCACCCAAATCACCTCAGAGGTGGGGTGGTTTTGGCTAAACCTCTCTAAAAAGGTCAAATGTCACTTGTTTTGCATCAATCTTGATACAGGGTACTTATTATATGTTGAACTTTGGATTCCTAAAGCTTTTAGTCTACTAACCCATCATCCAAGGGTAGTTTTCACTATCTGTAAAAAATAATTTTTGGACGGACACTATAATTTACAGTTTTTTACTATGTAAAATCTGAATTTTCTTTAAAATAAAAAAAAATTATATTGATTCTGACACTACTACATCCAACTCACAGATGTAACCTTGCTTTGATAAAAGAAATTATTCATATAACCCTTTTAGAAGTTAAGTTGTAGTCATTTGTTTTGGGCATGTCATTTTCGAGCCTGAAACATGAAAAACAGGCTAGGTGCTTAACAGGTTAAGTGTATTTTTAGATACCTTTTTTAACCTTTTTCGAAACATACTATGAAAGCAAAGTAGACCAAAAACAATGCATACCATGCATTGTTTTTTTTAGTTTAAAGTGGACCTATCATGCTATATTTGAACCATATATTGTAGGGCCATACCTTTACAAAACATGTCTGTAAAGTTTTCAAAATACCAAACAGTTCACCCATTGTAGCCATCCCTCATACTGCTCAAACCCCTCTTTTGAAACCCAGTTAGAGAAACGCGGATCTTGGGTCCTTAGCTTGAAAAAAAAGAAAGAAGAGGAGGCGGAGCTAATGCCTGATCAGAATTCTACCGGAGATAAAGTTAAATACTGCTGTGATAAAACGCCATCCTGTTTAAACCACGTCAAGGATTATTTCTGAAATAGTATGGAGCTCAAATGCTTTTTCTCTTGCAGGTTTATCACAAGGTAAGTTCTTTTTTTATTTCCTGCTTTTTAAACACATGTGCTCTCCAGTACAGGTTAGCTCTGAGTGTTAGTGAGGCTTGCTAATGTAAACAAAGACGAGATTACGTCCAAAACACGTCAGGCATTGTTTCTGATGACAACTTTCTGTGGGTCCGCTGCCGATTTGACGTCAGTTCGGATGGAATCTGTATCCGCCCGTTGTACACCCGTTTTTAAAAGATTTGGGTACGGAGGAAAAGAGAGAGGGTTTTATTTTCTGACGCTGCGTGAGTTCCCTGACGCACCGGGGACACATATGTATGTATAAAATACATCACAAAGTGCATTTTGCATGATAGGTCCCCTTTAAATTAATAAAATGTTGTACCTGACGGAGGAATGCAGATGAATGTGTTTGCCTGATTAATTCCCATATAAATCCACTGCCTACAAACATCTCATTCACACGTGCGGGCAGTTTAGTTACACACCTCTCTTATGAAAGAAAACCAATGCATTTGTAAATATATGCATTGGTAAAGATATGCCACTAGATGGGGTGCTCATGCCTACCCATTCTCGATGATGGAGTATGTTGGCCAGTAGTTGGGGGTGTCATACGGCGCCGCGCTGCAGGACTCCACAAACAGCTGGGTATTGTTGACGGTAAATTTGGCCTCTATCTGCATGTAGATCCTTTCCGTCACATCGTACTCCAAAGGGTACAGCCCTGGATCAACCATTTTTCTATATTGGCTGTTTGGGTAGAACTCAAACTCATAGGTGAACTTTCCGAAGCCTTTATCCCACACCACCACATTCCTCCTGTGTGCTGTGAAGCCCTGCGACACGTTCCCACGTTTGGGGTACTGGCAGTAGAACTGGACCTCCAGCAGGTGGTTCCTGGTGATCAGGTCGTTAATGTTGTCCACCGTGGTGATTTCATTTTTGAAAACCAGGTTTTCCTCATCTTCCTGCAGAGTTAAAGGGGACATATTGTGTTCAAGTTCATACATGTTTTTGTGGTTTCTACTACAACATGTTTTCATGCTTTAATGTCAAACGTGTCATTTTACTTTCTTTTATTTCTTAAGACCAAGTCACGAAAAAAAATCCTATGGCCCTCATGGTGTTTCCCCTCTAATTATTCAATCCTCATACTCCTAATAAAAAGCAACAATAGTTTAGAGAAAAACCCGACGGGTGATGAAACAGATGCCCGATTGTTACCTCGATCTGAGTGCCGCAGGAGTTGAGGGGTACGACCGCGATGATGTGCGTGCTGTTGGAGTTCCTCTGCAGGTTGCAGGCCGTGTTGCTGGGGTCATTGAGGCGTAAATGATGCTCATGAAGTCCAGGGAGAGAAGATCTGGTAACCTCTACCGTCATTGAGGACTCATGGCAGGTCACATGGGATTTAACTAGAGCAAGAGATAAATAGTTTACAAAATATATACACATGATACCAGGTGGCAATTGTTTTGTTTAAGATTCTACACAAACACAACAGCCTTGCAAAAGCCCAAGAAGCCACGAATGGAATTTAGCCTTTTTGTTAAAATATAATAAAAGTTGTAGTTCTACTATAAAATGTTGACGTTAAACAAAAATTGTTCTTACTTAGTCTTTTACCGATGTTCACCAGAACGCACCTCATCTCGGACTGATAGATTCCGGACCTGAAAAGCATCAGTGAAGATTTATCTTGAATCATTTTTTCTTTTTTTAGGGAGGCATTTGCTTCTGACTGTATTATTTTAAATCCTAATTTGCTATTTTTATTAAAAAAGAAAACTGTTACTTACTGTGGAGATTCGGGGACGTGGACATGGTCCTTGTGATAGGTTTTGGCTGGGGTGGGGATGGTAGAGGCGGGACTGTAAAATGTGTGAAAAGTGAAATCAATATTTAACACACACACATGCAAACTAAATGTATCAAATAGAATATGAATGTAAGGCTCACTCACTCGATTACTGATTCAACAGCAAAGCAGATTGGGTAATGATCCCCCACATCATCAGGGCCAGGCGTCCACCTAATGACAAAGTCTCCACGTGTGCTTCTGTGCTTTCTGGTATTCAGTGGCCCACTGATGATGATATCATGTAGTCTGTGTGAACGCAAAAGAAAGAAACCAGATATTTCCTCCTTCTCGCTGAAGTTATCTCACTAGCAGAAATGCTGATAATGTTCTTACGCCACAAGGCAATACTCATCACGTTGATTCTCACTTACGTTGCATGTGAAGCTTTTGCTCGGACTCTGATCTCCACTTTTTTGTTGTCCTCGGCATTGATGTGTTGTCCATTTGCAGGTGTTGGGTGCACAAACTTTGGCAAGTAGAGTCCATCAACACACGAGGGAGCAGGTGGGTCCACTGCAGTTAAAACAAATAGTTCTTGATCAGTTTTTAAAACCACTTTTTAATTTTCTGTGGCTCAAATATCAAAGCTGTCACAGCAGATTATATTAATTAGCTGTCAAAGGCGAAATATCTGCAGCTTCAGCTTAATTTCTTTCCTGATATTTCAACACACTCTCACTCCCTAAACGTCCAGGAGCGACGCTTGGTCAGGGTCCCGTGGCGTGCAGTTGGGACACGCCGAGGCTCCTTCAGCTTCATAAACGGACGCAAAGAGCTTTCAACTGATTGCATTGTATTCCCATCGGCGGCGTTATTTGACGCTCATGGAAGCACCGCATCGGTCCATGTCTGCGGCCCTTAAAGGCAATGTGAGCGTCCATTCCCATTGGATAACGGAGGATTTTACACCCTGAAGTAACTATTCTCCTTACTGTCGATTGACTTTACAGTGATATCTGCACTACTCATCAACTCAAAAACATCAGATTATCCTTGTTAATTACACAACATTGATTGGTTTAAATTGTGTGCAATGCTTTTGCATTTTACCCCTTCGATTCGGAGAAACAAATATTTTTTCGGAGTTTAGGATGGATACACTACCCAGAATCCTCAGCTATCGTTTAGGACTACACCATGTGCTTTGTTTGACAAACCCCGTGATTAGTTCTCAAGCTCTGTGATTGGTTGACCTCCAACTGCATTCCATATGAAAAAAAAAAACGTAAAAGATAAAATCATACTTTATTCAGCAGTGCTTGCTTTACTCTTTGAAAGTCATCACATGAATGCATTGTAATAAATGGTTCGGCTGCATTAAATATTACACATCTGTCGTAGTTCTTTATTTATCTACAGCGATCGGGCCTCAGAATAGACCGGAAACTATTCTTTTACCGTTCTGTTTTAATTTCACAATAAAGTTAGTAGTAATATTTTGATTTGATATTATTGTTTTTTATTAACTACTAGACCGCTGGGTCATGTTAACACCATCTTTTCTGTGTTGCTGTGGGTTTTTTTCATCGCTTTTGTGTTACAAATATCAAAACAATAACAAAATATATCCGTCGTAAACTAAACCGGAAACAGCAGTATATTTTATTTTGTTAACACTGTAAACTTGACAGCTTTTTAACCCAAACCACCTACTGGTTAAAGCACGTTATTACATGTTTAGAGTAATTGCAATGCAGGTAGATTGTGTTGCTTTTTAATGACTGTTTAAAATGCCTTTTTCTTAATGTCTTTCATTTTTGTAAATAATAATAATAAAATTATAAAATGCAATAATGTGCTTTAACCAGTAGGTGTCCCTTTCTATCAGCTGTGCACAGTTATGGCGTAAATACAGCCTATCTACCAATTGGATCAAATATAAAAGTCAGCCGAATTAGTGTTGATACTGCAAGGAGACGTATTGTGTGAAAAGAAATGTAAGATGTTTTTTAATTGCTTATATATTTATGATCCACGTCACGTTTTCAGTTTTGGCGGCAGTTCTTCCTGTACGGCAGATATGTAATATTTAATGCAGCCGAACCGTGTATTACAATGCCGTTATGTGATGACTTTCAAAGAGAAAAGCAAGCACACTCGGAATAAAGTATTATTCTATTTTTTTTAAATGTGTTCGGATTGCACATCGCATAAACAACAAATCCCAGCGTGCATTGCGGCTAAACCATCCAATCATCGAGCTGAGGATCTTGCCTACGTCTGTTTCCGGTTTCGTTTTCGTTTATGTATTTTGTTATACACACATTCCTTCCCATTTAAATTTTAATTTACATTAAAGTATTTCGTGAGGCCTTCTAACATGTTTTTAAATATAACTACGGTTGTAGTTGAAGAGTTTGTAAATTAACATGAACCGAAGCTGTTGCCTGTTGCAACAGAGGATTGTGGGTAATGTCCGTCAAACTTCCGGGATCCTCCATGGGACCTTATTTCGGAAAAAGTATGCATTGAAGTCAATGGAGAGACAAAGATTATCTTTCGATCCCGTTTCAATTGTGCCACGAATTACACATATGATGTTTGTCAATCTTAAATAATAATTTCCATGTCAAAAAAGTCACAGTTTGTCGTAAAACTGTTGAAATATAAGACTATGAAAAATACGCAACTAGAAAGACTACAAATCCCAGAATCCCGCATGCTAGCTCTTATGAACCGACTGACTCCCCTTGTGTGTATGTACAGCTCTCAACATGCCCAGACTTGTAGTGATTTTCATCTCTTTTAATACTTTTAATACCACATTACATCACACGTTTGATGCGCGCCCGTGATGGAAAATCTCTTTATTTAAAAAATACGGGGAATACGGATCTCGGGGTCTCCCTGCTCCCTGTGCGCAGATGCGACACGTCATATGACGTCACATGTCTCGATTGAATATGCTTTATTTAAAACAAAAACAAGGACAATAAACAAAGCAGTCTTCACAACGGCCGGACAAAATACTTTGAGCCGCCCTATAGCCAAAGCCCGAGACACTGTTTAAAGCATAATAAAGACAATATATAAAGAGCATAATGTTTTTAATGCAATGCAGTCTCGCAACGTATGCTTCAGCAGAGAATGGCCCGCGGCGGGAAGCTCGCGATCTCAAGTCATCTACAACATACGTTTAGGGAGCTATATAGAAGCCTATGGACATCCCGGAAAGTTGAAAATGTACGCTATGGGCCGCCCCCCTTGCGTTGGAAAAAGACCACAGGGGACCTTGACATAACGTCAACATACGCCGATCTGGGAGTGAGGATGTGTTGCCATGAGCGTCAAATACCGCCGCCGATGGGAATACATTGCAATCAGTTGAAAGCTCTTTGCGTCCGTTTATGAAGCTGAAGGAGCCTCGGTGCGTCCCAACTGCACGCCACGGGACCCTGACCAATCGAACAGAAAGCCCTTCAGCTAGCTTCCACTGAGGAAGTTGGCAATGCTAAAAATCACTGCTGAAGAAATCACTCTTTTTGGTCAACTTTTGTAAGGTAATCATATCCTTTTTGACATATTTTAGTGTCAGAGCACTGACAAAACATATTTAGATAACTTGATGCACAAAAAAAAGTTTTAACAAGGGTGTAATTATTTTTTTGAAAATATGCTCAACCAATCGGTCGAATTGGCCTTTTATGGTAAGCTAGTAATATGACTTTTTCAGAGTTTCAGAGATGTTTTCCAATAAAATATCGTAAATAAATGGCTAGATTCATGGTAATATTACTAAATCTAGTACTGCCAGAGTGAAAGAGTGTTAATAATTTATATAGCACCTTTCATGCATGGCATTCAGCCCAAAGTTGCACACAGATGAGCAAGTTAGGCCAACACAGGATATAGACATTTGCTGTTAAGCCAGTGGTTTCTTGTTAGGCCAATTCAGCATATACAGCAAAATGAGAAAGTATTTTTTTTATTATGAAAAAACCTTTACATTACTTTTTTCCATCTTTTTTTTTTTTTACAATTATAATTTATTATCTTTTATGAATATATCTGATTGTATATATTGCTCATTTTCCATAAAAGAAACAAATGTATTTGAGTTAGTGTTTTATTTGAGTTTGATGCATACAAATACTGTACTGTATATGATGATTGTTGAAAATGCACTTTTACCATAAAAGGCCAGCTCGACCAGTTGGTAGAGGCTCATAAAAACAAAACTGTGTGGTCAGTCAAAAAAAAAAAAAAATTGTTTGTGGTTATTTGTGGCCCATTTGATAAGAAAATGCAAAAAAAAAGGGTTAAGTTGCCACTAGAGCTGCAAGAGGTGCATAACATTCTACACCCATTGAAGGCAGTGCAGCAACAGCTTTGCTGTAAGTATGGATTGAATCATTTAGGACAAGTAAAACCTGACTCACCAAGAAAGGAGAATTGCAAAGGCAGTTTACTGAGAGGAGGCGTGGTGCCATGCAGGTATGTATTGTTCAAGGCTCGTTTATGCCTCATGGGAATCAGTGGAGCCTTGTAGGATTGGGTTCCATCGGTGTAGGACAGAGAGATGGGCCTTTGCGGGAAGTCCTCCACCACCAACTCAAATCCAAAAACACTTGGGTCGGCGTTGGCATTGCGGTAATGTAATGAGCAGGAACCCTAACAATGTAAACATTCAGACATTTAGTGAGGCAAAGGCTCTGTCAGGTATTTTCGAAAATGTATAAGGACATTTATTTGTTCTTTTACAAACCTGATCCAAGACAAAGCCTGAAGGTTGGTTACATCCGCTGCACTCTATATTTCTGATATTTCCATATCTGCAGCGAACTGTGTCACCATCAGGGTCGAAGGACATCAGCTTGTAGGTCCGTGGGCAGTTCTGGGGAACTCTTGAAAGGACACATTAACAAGAGTGAGGAACACTCTTCTGCCCATAATCCCATACACAAATGGATTAAATCATTAGTTATAACTGCACATGTGAGTAGATAGACAAATAAAAGAAGTAATATAAAGACAGTGAATGTATTGACTGTAATAAATTATAAGAACAATTAAATAGTGTATTTTATTGGTTTGGTTGAATTATCTTTTGTTCTTTCTTCTTGGAAAGATGGAAAAAAAATCATATTACATGAGCTACAAGCAAGTCAACAACAAGTCCTCCAACTCATACGACCAAATGGGTCGATTGTTCAAGCCCTTATTACGACCAAATATGTTGTTTGTTCAAGCGCTTAATACGACCTATAATTACGTTTTAAAGTTTTTCGCCCTCTAGTGCTCCCATTGAATGCAAACGTTACAGAGGGTCGTTTATTCACAAATAACCCTCTCTGTAAAATCCTATATTGTAGGATAGTTTGGCCATTAAAATGCTTTTTGATTAGATTTCTAGCGAGAAGTGTATATTGTACTTGTAGATTCCACGTCCAGTCGATATGTAGGATCTATAGTTTGATAGATATTACGAAGATGATTTGAGGTTTCGTCAGGAGAACGTGTATATGCGGCAAGCTTCCATGTAAAGTTACGGGTTGAAAACAGTATTTCCGGTCTCGACGTTTTCATAATAAAACCAATGATCAAATGATTTAACAGTGATATCTGCAGTACTCATCCACTAAAAAACATCAGTTTATCCTTGTTAATTATACGACATTAATTGGTTTAAATTGTGTACAATGCTTTTGTGTTTTTCCCATAGGTTTTTCTCTTTAGATTCTGAGAGACACTTTTCTTTTTTCAGAGGTTTTGATAGGCTAAAACATCGAACTACACCCATAATCCTGGATGTTTTAGCCGCAATGCACGTTGGGATTTGGTGTTTATGCGATATGAAATCGGAAAACATTTAAAAAAATAATAATAATACTTTATTCCGAGTGTTCTTGCTTTTGTCTTTGGAAGTCATCACATAACGGCATTGTAATACACGGTTCCGCTGCATTAAATATTACACATCTGCCGTAGTTCTCTATTTATAGAGCCCTGATGAGAAGACTTCTGGACAAACTGGAAGAAATGCCGCCAAAACTGAATACGTGACGTGAATCATAAATATATAAGCAATTAAACAACATCTTCAATTTATTTTCACACAATACGTCTCCTTGCAGTATCAACACTAATTCGGCTGACTTTTATATTTGATCCAATTGGTAGATAGGTTATATTTACACCATAACGGTGCACAGTTGATAGAAAGGGACTTGTAGTTTTTAAAGATATTACTGATTTTCTGAACTACCTTTCCAACTCCTCAAGCAGTTGACTGTTATAGGTCTATACAGGTTCATGGTACAATGCATAAGCTTCAAATCGAGAGACTGAAACTGTATTTTCCTTTACCGTTCTGTTTTAATTTCACAATAAAGTTAAAAGTAATATTATCTTTGATATTATTATGTTTTATTAACTAGACCACTGGTTTTTTAACCCGCACCGCCTAGTGGTTAAAGCACGTTATTGAATTTAGTTGTTGAATATGTTATATTTGATGAAAACATTTCAATATTAAGAGTAGCCTACATACAAAATAGGGGTCAATGATAGAAATATAGAATAGAAAATATCAAGAAGATACTGTAGTGATCTCTACAATAAAACAGTTTAGTGCAGGACGTCCAAAGATATTAACAGGAGGATGTGCAAAACAGACAAACTAATAAGGCTGAATTTTACTCGGGTGTAACTAAAGTCTGATTTAAGGGTTGTTTATATTTCACGTCATTAATCAGAATCTGCAAAGTAACAAAAATAAATGTAGTGGAGTAAAAATACCAGGTTAACCTCTGAATTGTAGTGGAGTAGAACAAAGTAGTACATGCTGCTGTTACAAAAACATTTCCCAACTTGGGATCAATAAAGTATCTTATCTTATCAATTCTTAAGATGATCGATGGCTACTGCCATATTTGCAAAATTTGCCTCTGAACCTATACAAGTGCATGTTTCAGGCTTATCAATTAACAACAGGAGGGGTCACAGACATAAGACCAGCTGTTAAATAAAGCTCTTCTGACCTTAACTGTCATGTGGGTATATTAATGCTGCCCATTATACAAGCAATTTTCACCCATTTATTAATTATATGTTTTAAATGTGATAACACCACTGTGTTTCGTATCCCCTAAACCTCCAGGGGTGTAAACAGTTCAATACTGGCAACTTCTAATTGTGGGAAATACGAAAACGTCTTTTAAAACTACAATTCCCAGTAGAGACATGCCATAGAACATGTTGCGAAACACACAATAGCCAGCATGTGTAGTTCTGGGGGGGAGGGCTGGGCTGGACCCGTCCAAGTCCAGTTTTGGATAGTCTGCCGTGGATCCATTCCATTTCAAAGAGCTGTTGACGCTCGGCGTAACCTTGTCGCACTGCCACTCCAACATCCAATCACATAGCTTGAGGACTAATCACGGGGTTTGTAAAGCAACGCAGATGTTGTAGTCCCAAACGATAGCTGGGGATTCTGGGTAGTGTAGTGTCTTCGGAAACTCTGTAGTGTCTAAACTCCGAAAAAACAATTTGTTTCTCCGAATCAAAGGTTAAAAACACAAAAGCATTGTACAAAATTTAAACCAATCAATATTGTGTAATTAAATAAACTGATGTGTTTTAGTGGATGAGTAAATCAGATATCACTGTGTAATCATTTGACAGTGAGGGGAATACTTCCGGTTTTATTATGAAAACTTCGAGACCGGAAATACTGTTTTCAGCCACGCTAACTTTACATGGAAGCTGCCCCATATACACGTTCTCCTGGCGAGACCTCAAATCATCTTCGTAATATCTATCAAACTATAGATCCTACACATCCACTGGACGTGGATTATAAAAGTAAAATATACACTTCTCGCTAGAAATCTAATAAAAAAGCATTTTAATGGCCAAACTATTCCACAATTTAGGATTTTCCAGAGTGGGTTATTTGTGAATAAACGACCCTCCGGAGCGTTTGCAATCAACGGGAGAATGTTGTTTCTTACACGACCACTAGAGGTGCTACACTTTAAAACGTGACCCTGGGTCGTATTTAGCTACTGAACAATCGACCTATATGGTCGTTTTTTGTAGGAGGACAGGCGGGTAGTCAAAGTACGGATTTTCTGAATGGTTCCAATGTCATTTGTGATTTCTTTAAACATACTGTTGGAAAACAATCCCATTGATTCTGGTATTTATGGACTTTCAAGGCTAATGTCCACAGTGTCTTCTTTTACTGCCATTGGGGGGAACTAAAAAGGTTATTCAACAACATAATAAAAGGTTAGACAAAGCCTTTCATGCTTACTTCAGGGAGCTTACCGTAGGAAAGGTAGAATGGCAATGTCTGGGGATCTGTTTGGTTTGCCAGTGTCAGATCTTGTTCCCAAATCTACTTGAGTTAGAAGTCTCCAACCTGAAACTCTGTTTCGTGTTCTGGTCCAACAACAGCTACTTGCCCTGATAGGTGTGGAAACAAAACTCTTGAAATACTGCATCTTACAGCTGCCTCTTGTTATGTTTGCAATGCAATTGTGGAGACTCCACAAATATAACATTAGCGTGATTTGAGTCAAGAAACAGCTCACCTCATCTGAAACGGTTTGTCAGTTGCGACTTTTCTTTGTTGAACTGTTTCTGTTTCACACCATTGTCTGTTAAATTGCGGTGCATTGGTGCTCCTGTCAATTGTGCCTCTCTGTTGATTAGTGACATAGCCACAGTTGTTGTTGTAACAGCTCCAGGAATGGGAATACTGACACCCATCATAGGTCGCCCTGTTTCGAAAGTCCACCTTTGAAAAGAACATATACATAGTTAGATGTTTTCCTCAAGTTAACTTTTTTTATTAACATTTAGTCTATTTTGTAAAAATCAATAATATAATTATACAATACTGCCAATTTTAAGAAAGGCATGTATCTTTTTGAATCACTGTACTTTCTGAAAGTCTTTCTGCCTTAGTCAAATAAAGTATACATAAAAAAAGGAAAACCAATAATGTTGCAATATGCTTAAGTCACTTATTGGTTCTTGAGAATTGTAAAAGGTAATGAAATCCCTAATCATAACAGTGAAAGTATAAAATACACATCAGAAAAAGGTAAAGACGATAACCAGCACCGACTAAACTACAGTTGAAAGATCCAATAAAATTAAAAGTAATCGTCAGATCAACACATTCTCACTCCCAACTCGGCCTATGTTGACGTTATGTCAGGGTCCCTGTCGTCACTTTCCAACGCAAGGGGGGGCCCTTTAGCGTCGAGTTTCAACTATCAGGGAGTCCCATTGGCTTGCATAGAGCTCCCTGAACGTTGGTAATAGACGAGTTGGGATCGTGGCGAAATGCTCTCCGCAGATCAATTCTCACAGCGTTTATCAACCTTTTTCTTACTCAATATCAAGCCACACTTATTGTTTTTACTTCTTTATTTTAATTGAATAATTTTGGGCTTTTGTTGCTGTCAGTTAGGGGGAGAGTACGGGGCTCAGAATACTGAAATCTGTATTGTTTCATCGTTTTTTCCTTCTAATTTTGTATTCTCTTCTAAACTACACACTGTTCACACTGTTCACACACTACACACTACTCAACAATAAGACACAATTATCCTTGTGTTTATTTATTTGTTTGATTAACAAACACAAGTCGGAGTCCGTCAGGACCGAGGGTCAGAGCAGCTCATAGTAGTTGCTTTAGAGAATTTTACACCCGGAAGTAAGTATTCTCTCCGCTTCGCTTTACAAACCCCGTGATTAGTCCTGAAGCTCTGTGATTGGATGTTTGAGTGTGCGCCGAGGGTTACGCCGAGCGTCGAACAGCACTTTGAAATGGGATGGAACCACGGCAGACTGTCCAAAACTGGATTTGAACGCACCCCGTCCCCCCCTCCCTCACCCCGTCCCCAGAACTACACATGCTGGCTATTGTGTGTTTCGCAACATGTTCTATGGCACGTCTCTACTGGGAATTGTAGTTTTAAAAGACGTTTTCGTATTTCCCATAATAAGAAGTTGCCAGTATTAAACTGTGTACATCCCTGGAGGTTTAGGGGATAGGAAACACTCAAATTTAAAATATATAATTAATAAATGGGTGAAAATTGCTTGTGTCCATAATGGGCAGCATTAATATATACCCACATGACAGCTAAGGTCAGAAGAGCTTTATTTAACAGCTGGTCTTATGTCTGTGACCCCTCCTGTTGTTCATTGATAAGCCTGAAACATGCACTTGTCAAGGTTCAGAGGCACATTTTGCAAATATGGCAGTAGCCATCGATCATCTTAAGATAAGATATACTTTATTGATCCCAAGTTGGAAATGTTTTCGTTACAGCAGCATGTGTAACAGTTGTAAATATGCAGTGGTGTTTATTTGTAAATCATTTAGTATAACCACACAAATTCTGTGTTTTATATTGAATAATTCTGTGCTCTTTATTTATTGAATGTTCAATACCTGACAAGGTCAGAGATTAAAAACTTGGGTCGCAGGTTCCTCAACAGTGCATTACAAGACATCTATCGATATGTGTGTACCTCCACCATTAAACTGTCATATTCTGCACATTTCTTATTCTATCTACATACATCTTATAAGAGTTTAATACATATGTATAATATCAGTTAAAATAAGTGCTTCAACATAGTTAACATTGCAGGAAAGTTGATTGTCAAGTCCCAAAACAAATTATGCAATATATTAGACGTTAAGTACTTTGTTAGGCTTAATATTTATCAGATACCCCCAGAGCTTTTTTCTTATTCAAAAGAAGACCTTAACTTAAAGTATTCTTTAATGTTTAAATAAAGCCTAATTAGTTTGTCTGTTTTGCACATCCTCCTATTAATATCTTTGGACGTCCTGGAATAAACTGTTTTATTGTAGAGATCACTTACAGTATCTTATTGATATTTTATATTCTATATTTCTATCATTGGCCTTCTACTTTCCCCCTATGAAAGTATGTACTCTTAATATTTTTTTTGTTTTCATCAAATATAACGTATCATAAACAAATCAATAACATTCTTTAACCACTAGGCGGTTAAAGCACTCAGGTTTACAGTGTTAACACAATAAAATATACTGCTGTTTCCAGTTTAGTTTATGATGGATGTATTTTTTTATCCACACACATATTGTTTTTATATTTGTAACACCAAACCGACAGAAAAAATATATTATCAAACATAATATTAAAATGAACTCTTATTTTCAAAATACAGCTTCCTGTGTTCGAATGAGCTGCTCCGACCGTCGGTCCTGACGGACTCCAAAAGTCCAACATTATACAATCAAACAAATAAATAAACACAAGGATAAAAGTGTCTTATTGTTGAGTAAATAACAGTGTGTGGTTTAGAAAATAATATAAAATTAGTAGGAAAAAACGATGAAACAATACAGATTTCAGTTTTCTGAGCCCCGTACTCTCCCCATAACTGACGGCAACAAAAGTCCAACATTATTCAATTAAAATAAAGAAGTAAAAACAATAAGTGTGGCTTGATATTGAGTTAGAAAAAGGTTGATAAACGCTGTGAGAATGGATCAGCGGAGAGCATTTCGCCGCGATCCCAACTCGTCTATTACCAACGTTCAGGGAGCTCTATGCAAGTCAATGGGACTCCCTGATAGTTGAAACTCGACGCTAAAGGCAACACCTAAAGGGCCCCCCCTTGCATTGGAAAGTGACGACAGGGACCCTGACATAACGTCAACATAGGCCGAGTTGGGAGTGAGAATGTGTTGGTCAGATATCGAGTCAGATACTAGAATTACACTTTCTGGAACCCATTCCTTTTTTTTTGGCAAATGGGAAATTCCACAGCATTCTTCATTTAACGTGATAAATCGTGCAATCTTTCTTGATATGTGAACAAAAGTACATTTTTGTTTTGAAATCTGAAATTTCTTTAATTTCTTTCTCAGAATTCAGACTTTTTAGAATTTTTCAGAGACTTCGGAATTCATTTCTCAGTTTCCTGAGTTTTCTCTCAGAATTCAGATTTATTCTCCAGATTTTGAAAACATAGTTGCAGGAAAAAATAAGGTTAAATATATCAGACGAAATTGTCATATTCTACAAGCACAATCAGAGTAATCAAATCCAAATAAAATACCAATGGCAATAGTATGAATACATTAGTCAATTGTTAACTGATGCATGGGTTTAAAAGTAGTTTCTCTCACCCTAAATGATCCATCAGGGTTTCTTCCTTTGTAGCTGAAGGACACGGTTCCCCCGTAGTGATGTGCTGCAGACGCCAGTGAGACCAGCTGAAGCAGGAGCAGCAGAGCGGTGGCCATCTTTTCCCGAATCCACCTCTGTCTCCAAGTATCTGCTGCTCACATCCACCTGCAGCATCAATATATACACACCTGGCCATGGCCCCTCCTGCCAAGTTATGAAATCGATCTTTAGGAAGAAGCCGGCTGCAAAACTGGTTCCACAACATTTGACAATGCCTTAATTAAAACGCCCACAACTACAACAAAACTTTTCTTGAAAATAATGTTTGCTGGCAGCATGTGGACCTATTGTTGTATTTGTGAATGTAAAGGAATTGAAACCATGAGCAAAACTATTGTTGTATAAGAGTGCTTTAAACTGACATTGTTGCATTAAATGTACTGAATGCAGGGAAAATGTCAAAATAAGTTGGTATGCAGTCAAAATAATTGCAAATTTTATTTTTCTGGCCGCCCTTTTACCATTTGCAGGATTGGTCAATGTGCAAATGCAAAAACAATCCATGAATTAAATGTTATTAAAAATAACATTACACTTCAATTTGTTTCCCCATATTTTCTGCAATAATACAAAATCACATTGGCTTTGTGTGGAGGGATCCAGGTAGATGCTGCCTTCAGAGTCCACTACAAAACATGGTCGACATGCAAATGCAAATGCAATAACAATCTATCACTAATAAAACACTTCCTCCTCACATCTCTTGACTTAACAATTGTGAAATCCAAATTGTTCTTCTTTCGTCTTTCATCTTGCATCACTTCTTGAAATGTAGGTATTTTCCTTTCTGTCACATTAAGGAGAGGCAACAGAATTTTTTTAAATCAAAACTAAAAACACACTTCTTCTCTCTGGCTTTCTAGTTAGAGCGGAGCACGACTCCTGACTTTTCCGTGTGTTTTATTTTTATTTTGTTTTTTAAGATATATCTGTTGTAATTTATTGTCGTTTATTGTGTTTTGTAGTAATGTGTTTTTATTACATGTACAGCACTTTGGCTCGACCAAAAATCGCTTTTAAATGTGCTATATAAATAAAACCTGATTTGATTTGATTTGAAAGCAGCTGGAGGCACAGAGAAAGCTTTTGATGAAATGTTGATTAACTGTTATGCTGATTAAACACACTCTTTTTTTCCCTCCGCTTAAACATTGACTGTCGGTTTATTGGTCTGTTAAACATAAAATACGTCATGCATGCAGCGCTCCATTAACCCTCCTGTTGTCTTTGGGTCGAATCTGACCGATTTACTACTTTCATCAATCATAACCTTTTTGTTTTACATTTGATTGCATTAAGGCTTTATGATATCCTTCACAGTAGACATTTGAACATAGACAATTGCTGATCACCACTTTCATTGAATTTTGGATGATTTAGTCAACTTTGTAACACCCATGGTGTTCTGCCATAAAGAAAAGGAATTAGTAACCATCCGGATCAGATAAAAGACACACACAAACACACACACACACACACACACACACACACACACACACACACACACACACACACACACACACACACACACACACACACACACACACACACACACACACACACACACACACACACACTCACACACAGAACAATTTGATACATTTCCCACTCTTATGTGCCCATCCCCCCACATGGATCACACCTGGCACACGCGATACATGTTCAGTGTCTATTCTTTGTATATTTACTGCAGTTGTTCATGTATACCAGTAGTCTGATACAATATGTACAGTTTGAAAGGGTGTTAAATTAAATGTGGTGATGATTAATGGTTTTTATGTTAATGTAATAGCAGTTAAAACAGGACCGGTCAGATTTGACCGCGAACACCAAAGTAAGGAGGGGGGGGAAACGAAGACAATAGGAGGGTTAAGAATAACAAGCCATTTCCTGCTTTGGCTTCCTGTAACATTAATAATCAACGCAATCCTGTCCTTACTCTCGGTTAAATTTCCCCATTCTCGTTTTTTTCCTTCCTCATTGTTATTCACTATGATTCTCAAACATTGGCCTTTTGTTCATACCGTGCTTCGACAGTTTTAGCCCTCAACCCTCTGTAATTATCTTCCCCAACCTTCAAATCACATTTTTGGGTTTATTTTTCAGAATCTTTAAACAGTTTTAGGTTGCTTGTTTAAACCCATCTTTACAGGCCTCCTGATTAATCTTTAACCCTGCCATTTTATTTGGTTCTCTCTTGATTGCATGTGCATGTGTATTCTGTATAGTGTGTGTGTGTGTGTGTGTGTGTGTGTGTGTGTGTGTGTGTGTGTGTGTGTGTGTGTATGTGTGTGTGTGTGTATGAAAAAAATAAAATAATACAAGCCAGAGTGAAAAACTGAATTAATAAACGTTAATCTTTTTCTTCTTTTATTGCACTGTGTTTTATATTGTAGTGTCTCCTTATTTCATATGTTGTACCTGTGTGAAGTAATCTGTAACTTTGTGTACTGTGCTATAAATATAAAGCCTAACCGATAAGTACGTATATAGTTACTTACCTTTATTTCACTCTCACTTTCTGAGCGAAAAACAGACATATGAGATGGAAAGTATTGAGAAAGGATTGCAATGTTCCTGCAGAACATGTCATATTGCACTACAACATTCCTCATCTGCCATCTCTTGATGTTATCTCTTGTCTTCGGGTATATCTCATTTGGTTTCTGTTCTACGTAATCCTGTAAAATCGTTTTACTACCGCCCTATTATCAATGGCTATGTTTTTTATGCAAGCATCTGTAAAATCCCCGCGGTTTCCAAGGAAGTTGAAGCTATCTCAACTTTTCTTGTATTGGTTACTCACATTTATATATATGTTACGGTCCTTTTTATGGATGTACACATCACAGTAAATACATTTATTTTACTACACATAGTTTACCTGTACACATCACAGTATGAACATGTTTGTTTCCACCTTTATAAGCATTTTAAATGTTTGTATTATTGTTTTACACATTCTGAATAAATCTAATCAAATTACATTACATTACATGTTACTTGTTAGACGCTTTTATCCAAAGCGTCTTATATACTCAATACTGTGGGCAATCCCCACAGGAGCAATTTTGGGGTGAAGTGTCTCAGGGACACAACGACATGCTGACTGCAGTGGGGTTTGAACCTGTGACCCCCTGATCCAAACACCAACGCAAAACCGACTGCGCCACACACCTCCATCAAATCAAATAAGCTGATAATTCATCACAGTACATATGTGTATTCAATCTTCTATATATACATATCTACATATATGCAGTGGAGGAAATAAGTATTTGATCCCTTGCAGATTTTGTAAGTTTGCCCACTTACAAAGAAATTAACAGTCTATAATTTTAATGGTAGGTATATTTTAACAGTGAGAATAAGAATATCAAAAAGAAAATCTATAAATTGACATTATATAAAAGATAAAAATGGATTTGCTGTGGGAAATAAGTATTTGCTCCCCTTGCAACCCTGGTTGCGGTCGAATAGTCCAAAAATCAGCTCCTAAGTTCTAACCCTATCGTCTATTCCTTGACCTCTGAGTGAAACGTCATGGGGTTAAGGGATAGTGGATAGGAGAATTCAAAAGGATTTAGGAGAAGAGACTGTGGTACTTTAGAGAATCCGACTGCACTTTCACTATCCGACGTGTTTATGATGCGCCAGCGGAGGTCATAAATGTGCGCCTGCTGCTGTGGGGAAACTATGGAAACTACAGTTTTCTATACAGCGGACTACAACAGGGATGTTTAATAAGAACGAGGGACTACTGTAAACTCATCTAGAGACTCTGCACCGTGCTCTGATGCTGTTGCTTTATGCTTTATGAATGTGGACAACAGAAAAACATATTCTTCATGACCAAAGTTGGAATTGAAATAAAAAAGGAAAGTGAAACTTATGCTCGTCACCCTCTCCCTCCGGTCCACATTAATACAAATGATCCCAATAGGTATGATTGTATGAAAAGATCTTAAAATCAATACAAATGTGTTTATTATAAACGTTAGTCCTTAACATCTATCACTGTGTATATCCCCATTCAAACATCTTTTAAAAGTTGAACAAACCCCACACAGCTCAGTAAAGACTGTGAAATGTTGATTTTATTTGATCATTTCAGTAAAAACTAACGTTCATATTTCTCTTTTTGATTATAATACTGATGAACGTTCAAAACAAAGCACTTTGGCAACTTACCACATACGTTTTAAAATGCTTAATAAGCACCGTAACTTTCATGATATCATTTCTCGTTCATAATCGGTTGTTTCCGTGAACGGCCGACTGTTGTGTGACGGCAAATGCCGCGGCCGCAAGGCATTGTGGGGCAGCATTTTCTCCTCTCCTTTAGGTTAGGGAAGTCCAGTGGTTCCTAAGCTAAAGGAGGTTATAAAGGAAGTTTGAAACCTCCTTTCCTTTCATTTAGAGAATTCGAACGGCACTTATCATGGCTGCCACTGAGGGACTTCCGGGTCATTTCACTCCGTTAGGAAGGTTCCTAAGCTAAATGGACTATTCGACCGCAACCCCTGTCTCCTAAAAATTACGTTCCCACAGAACTAAACTGCATTCCCAATGACGTTTAGCTAGAAACTTATTTTCTCCCACGTTACGTTTGTTATGAACGTATCTCAAATACGTTTATTTTCTACATATCTTCTAGAAACATATTTTCCCCCACGTTACGTTTGTTATGAACGTATCTTAAATACGTTTATTTTCTACATATCTTTGCCATTTATTGTCTTGCTTATAATAATGATAATAGTCATTTATAAATATCATGTGAGAGCACACATTTGAAATCGACGATCGGGCTCGATATATGGTTAAATTAAAATCAGTAGGCGAGGCTGTAATTTCGCCAGCTGTTACTCTCATGAGCGAGGCAGAAAATAATAGTTTTAACATGCCAAAAAGCTGCTGTGTCGTTTATTGCACCTCAAACATTAAAACAAATCCAGAGTTACGTATTTCTGTAAGAAAGGACAGTAACAGAAGAGCTCTGTGGCTTCAGGCTTGATTGCCGTTCAAATGACAGCGTTGGTTTCCCCAAAAGTGGGCGGGGCTGTAAAGTGACGTAGATTTTACTCTCATCTATTATTCAAAACCATTCTATTTATTCTAACGTAAATTACATGCCAGTGTTTTATCTTTTTATTTAGCGATTTGTTTTTGCACTGGGAATGTTTTCATGTGGAACCAGAAGTACGTCACTTCACTTTGTCTTCTTCGTCCCTTTTACGTTCCAGACAATGCATGGCTCAGCATAACAGACTGAACAGCGACCCCAGGTGTGTCTACATTGGAATTACATCTTCATTACTGAAGGAAAAATACTTTACCTAGTGTTTGTTAACTGGGTTTTTAAATGCAGTTGGCTTTTCTTAATGGTTACAATATTGCTATGAGTTGCAGTATATCTGAAGCAAATTATGTTTCTGAAGATGTGTAGTCGATTCCACCCTTCAATGTAGCATAAATGTGAACTCTCATTACAGGAACAATACCGGAAACAGACGTAGGAAAGATCCTCAGCTCGCTGATTGAATGTTTTAGCCGCAATGCACGTTGGGAGATGGTGTTTATGCGATGTGAAATCCGAAAACATTTACAAATAAAATAATACTTTATTCCGAGTGTTCTTGCTTTTCTCTTTGGAAGTCATCACATAACGGCATTGTAATACACGGTTCGGCTGCATTAAATATTACACATCTGCCGTAGTTCTTTATTTATAGAGCCCTGATGAGAAGACTTCTGGACAAACTTGAAGCACTGCCGCAGAAACTGAATACGTGACGTGGATCATAAATATATAAGCAATTAAACAACATCTTACATTTATTTTCACAAAATACATCTCCTTGCAGTATCAATAGTAATTCGGCTGACTTTTATATTTGATCCAATTGGTAGATAGGTTATATTTACACCATAACGGTGCACAGCTGATAGAAAAGCACTTGTAGTCTTTAAAGATATTACTGATTTTCTTTGAATATAAGAATGTAAATACTGAGTTGAGAGAATAGTCAGGAGTTTTGGGTGATGGGAGACACACCTATGGAATCACAATTTCAATAGCTTACCATTAAATGACGGATATACCTTTCTGTCTGTGATGTTTTACAAATCAGATATTAATGTGTAGAAGTAAAACATGAGAAATAGTATAGCAATATCCTGTAAAATTATGTAAAAACATGAATAAAACTACACATCTTCAGATGTTATACATACATAAGTGTCTTACACTAATAATACAAAGTTATTATTAGTATACTGTGTGTACCTTGTGTGCACCGCCTAGTGGTTAAAGCACGTTATTTAATTATTTTTGTTGAATAATGTTATTTTTGTTGAATAATGTTATTTGATGAAAAATATATTAAGAGTACATACTTTCATAGGGTGAAAGTAGAAGGCCAATGATAGAAATATAGAATATAAAAAATCAAGAAGATACTGTAAGTGATCTCTACAATAAAACAGTTTAGTGCCGGATGTATAAAGATATTAATTTTTTCTTATTCAAAAGAAGAACTTAACCTAAAGTATTCTTTAATGTTTAAATAAAGCCTTATTAGTTTGTCTGTTTTGCACATCCTCCTATTCATATCTAATAATATAATTATAAAATGCAATAACGTGCTTTAACCAGTAGGTGTCCCTTTCTATCAGCTGTGCACTGTTATGGCGTAAATACAGCCTATCTACCAATTGGATCAAATATAAAAGTCAGCCGAATTAGTGTTGATACTGCAAGGAGACGTATTGTGTGAAAAGAAATGTAAGATGTTGTTTAATTGCTTATATATTTAAGATCCACGTCAAGTTTTCAGTTTTGGCGGCAGTTCCTGTTTGTCTAGAAGTCTTGTCATCAGGGCTCTATAAATAGAGTTAATTACGGCAGATATGTCATATTTAATGCAGCCGAAACATGTATTACAATGCCGTTATGTGATGACTTTCAAAGAGAAAAGCAAGCACACTCGGAATAATGTATTATTTAATTGTTTTATACAGTCTATGGTTGCTACAGAGGATTATGGGTAATGTCATGTCTTCGGCCATCCAAAACTCATAGAAAACGACTTGTTTCTCAGAATTGAAGGGGAAAACGTGACAAAAGCATTGTACACACACTAAAACCTATCAATGTCGTTTAATTAACAAGGATAATCTGGTGTTTTTGAAGAGAAAAGCAAGCACACTCGGAATAATTAAATAAGAATAGTACAATATTACTTTATCCCAATTAGGCTAAATCTTACTGTAGTTCAAATTGTAATTAAGCTATGTGTCTAGACTGGTTATGTTGAAGTAAAGCTATTTAATAAGTGTTTTAATATGATGTATTAAACCACATACTTCTTTCTAAGTAGCAACAACAACAAAAACCACTACCAATGATGCTGATGCTTGGCCATGGCAGCTACCACACAGTGGTATGTACACAAGTCTGTATATAAGTCTGTATAAATCTGACGTATTTTTTACATAATTGTGTCTCTTCCATAAATGCAATCCAGACTCTGTCGATCTAAAGATCAAGAGAAGGGCATTTGACATTGTCAATGCAATAAGGAGGCTTCAAGAGGAGAAGAAGATTGTTCTCATTGAGATGGACCACCATTGGAGAGCTCTTTAAACCCGTGGTGATGGCCTGAAAGAGCTGTCCTGCCTGCTTTCCAGTGAGACAATGCAAAGTATGTATTTAAATTATAAATGTCATAAACAGAAAAACATTATTACAATTATGTTATTCCAACACTGGCTTTATCTTATTTTGTTTTACTTTTAAGATTTGCCTTGGGTCCTAAGTGAAGAGGGGTTGAGAGGTCTGCAGAGCACCATCCTCAGAAAGTGGCAGAACATCCAACCCAGTCTCACGGCATTTCGTGTTATAGTCACGACATGTAATCTATTGATTCGTGTTCACCAACACGATTTCCCCCTTTTTTTTTCGTGTCACACAGAACGATTTTAAAAGCAATGTATTTCTATTGGTAGTATGTTTCGTGCCTGCACCACGTCTTTTTGTCCGTTCGGGTCTTGGAAGACCGGAAGCTGTGTGGTTCATAAAAACATGTTCTTACTCAATATCAAGCCACGATTATTGTTTTTAATTTTAAATCGTATAATGTCGGACTTTTTAAATGCTAAATGAAAGCTTGATAAAAAACGAAAAAAGTTAATGTAGAAATGTTCACATTGTGCTTAAATATATAAAAATAATCAATATGTTAAAATGTGTATATCAAAATATATACAGTGATGTTTAAGTATTAATAAAACCACAATTTTGCTTGAATAGTACGGTGTAATATTGTATGTTTTGTAATTTTTATGTTACATTGGGTATTATGTTAAAATATCTGATAACTATTATGTTGGTTTCACAATAAAGAGAATAGTGGCGCCATCTTGTGGCATATCAACAGAATAATACATAATGCAGAATCTCTACATTATAATGTTACTGAGAGGATTCAATTACCCCGTTTCTACAACTGAACTTTAGCTTAAATATGGGTTTAAAAACCTTATAATTGCAATAATTTGACAAATGGGACTGTTTTCATTCAATCGCTGAAACCTCAAACTAATCTACTCTTTATAATCAGGATTTATAAACTTATGTTATATCAAGTTGTTTTATTAAACACTTTTCTCCCTCATATCTATATGACAACTTTCCTTTACCAGTCATCTTCAACAGTGAATAAATACAGAGCTCAATCCCAGGTGAAATGCACACTAAAGGGTAATAATGAGGTTCAGTAACAGGAAAGCATTACAAATAATGCCATTTGTATTATAATAAATAAACTATCCAAGATGTGTGTTTGGTGCAAGAGAGAAAGAGAAATAAATTGGACAAAAGCAAAAGAGATTTGAGAGAGTTTTTATTGATACATTAAGCCTAAATGAGTTAGGATAAGGCGGAACAATGAAGTTTGACATGTACTATTAGCATTAAGCATTATAATGATTGGATACACATATCAATCAAGTTTTAAATTGTAATGGAGTACATGATAGAAGAATCACTTGTGAAGCTACATAGGATTACACTGTAAACAGTGGTTAACACCACAATAAACACCACTTATAACCCATAAGGCACCAATGAAGACTCATTATATGATAGCATTAAAAAACAAGAAGCTTAATGTAGTCAAATGCAACCGATAAAAAAATGGGTATTCTCAAATGGCCGCTTTCTTAGTTTTCAAAAGAGGGCAACGGTTGGTATTTGACCTTTGATGCTCTGACTTTGTACAGGGCCACTGCACTGATCATGCCAACGGCTGCAAGAAGACATCCAACGATGAACACCAGGTTCAGATTCAGGGGGGTCACTGGAGAGAAAGAAAAGCATTATTTTAATTTGACATTTCCAAAGACTAACTCCTCAGAGGACGTGGTCGAATTGTCTTATTAGTTCAGGAAGGTTCCTTACAGAGTGAAATGACCCGAGTTCCTAAGTGGCATCCATAAAAACAGCTTTTTAAAATATCAATGATAGGAAAGGAGCTTCAATGCTTAATATCTCCTTTAGGATACACTGGAAAATCCTGTCCCACAATACCTAAGGCCCATCAAGTTTTACACTAAGGTTAGAACCTAATCTGCTCATTCTCATATCAGTATCTAGTGTCTCTACTGGGACATGTCTCCATGCTTTAATGTTCAAAAATATCTTTATTTGTCTCATTCTGCCTGTGCTGCAGTACCTCTTTTCACCCTCTGTCTGAAACCAGAGCACAGTCTGCTCTGATTGGTTAGCTGGCCAGCTCTGTTGTGATTGTTCAACCACTTAGAGATGACCGCCCCTTAGCCTATCACATAGAATGTGTTGCAGCGCCAGCCAATAGGAGCACAAGTGTTACATAGTGATGTCACTATGTTCCAGAAGTCCCGTTAAGGAAAAGTGGTTAGGAAAAGACATAGGACCTGATTTTCACTTTTCAACCGTAGCCTCAAAGTAGGCAGGTGTTCTGAGGGAAAACGTACCTGGGCTCCCGGTGCTCTCCGCTGATCTCTTCAAACGCAGAGGACCCTGGGAAATGAAGTGCCTGGCGCTCTGAGTGATGGCCTCTCTCTTGCGGTGATGATGATGCCCAGTAAGGGGGGAGTTGATGCACCCCTGTGAGCACCTTGTGCCGCTGCTCCCTGCCTCACACATCAGCACTGAACAGCTGATGTACACCTGAATGCAACACAACACGCTGTCATTACATCAGCAGATATACAGACTTTTCTTCAAGTGGAGAAATAACAGAGCTGTGGTTGGATCAAAGACAAGATATATTGACACGTTGTACTTTTAATTTAGTAAAAATGCCAGACTACATGCAACAGAGTATTCCTACACTGTGGTATTAATTATTTGTATTAAGTAAAAGATCAGAGAGTATAGCCACATATTAGATAGTTCACCTGGTCGTGCAAGCCGATGAATTTGAAGGCCTCCATGCTGAACCTGAACTGTCCCTGGTTGGCGCTCGGATGCACCTGAACCGTTTGGTCCAAATTACACCTACAGTAACAACAAAAAGAAAAGTTAAGAAATATTGCTTCTGTGAGTCCATGCCTCACAATTGGTAATCGCTAAAATTGCCAATCTAATGCTAATTTTGATACATTAAAAGGAAATACATTCAGACACTAATAGCCACATTTGGCGTAGAGTATATTTGGATGCCTTTTTTTTTAAATTGGAAAAAAACAGTTTCATTTTTGAATGCACAAAAGTGTGTACCTGATGGAGGACTGCAGATGGAAATGAGTTAAAAGCAAGCATAAATGTTCTCTTTTTGAGATTAGTGTATTTGTATTTATGGTCCTTGTTCAATAAAGACTATAATAATAATAATTGTTTTGCCTGATTAAATCCCATATTAATCCAATGCCTGAAAACATCTCATTGCCACCTACGGGCAGTTTAGTTACAAACCTCTGACATAGCACATCTTTCTCAATGCATAGTTATGTCCCCTGTTGCCACTAGATGGCGTGCTCATGCCTACCCATTCTCGATGATGGAGTATGTTGGCCAGTAGTTGGGGGTGTCATATGGCGCCGCGCTGCAGGATTCCACAAACAGCTCGGTGTTGTTGACGGTAGATTTGGCCTCTATCTGCATGTAGATCCTGTTCTTCACATCGTACTCCAGAGGGTACAGTCCTGGATCAATCATTTGTCTATATTGGCTGTCTGGGTAGAACTCAAACTCGTAGGTGAACGATCCAAAGCCTTTATCCCACACCACCACATTCCTCCTGTGTGCTGTGAAGCCCTGCGACACGTTCCCACGTTTGGGGTACTGGCAGTAGAACTGAACCTCCAGCAGGTGGTTCCTGGTGATCAGGTCGTGTACGTTGTCCACCGTGGTGATTTCATTTTTGAAAACCAGGTTTTCCTCATCTTCCTGCAGAGGTAAAGGGGACATATTGTGTTCACGTTCATATGTGTATTTGTGATTTCTACTACAACCTGTTTACAAAAACATTAAAAAAACGTGTAATTGTACTTATACTATATAAAAACTGTTACTTTGGTAAAACTTAAAAAATGAGGCAACAGTTTCAAGCAATTTTATGAGTTGTTGTGAACTTTTGCATTTTGCATTTTTTTTGTTGGTTAAACTGACTTTTGTAGTTTTCCTGAATGTGTTTCTTTCCTAGGCAGGTTGGAAGGCACCCCTGATACCCACATTTGTCTGCACAAGCACTAATAACTGAGTTTTTCATACTCCTAATAAAAAGTAGTTTGGAGAAAAACCCGGCGGGTGATGAAACAGATGCCCTATTGTTACCTCGATCTGAGTGCCGCAGGCGTTGAGGGGTACGATGGCGATGATGTGCGTGCTGTTAGAGTTCATCTGCAGGTTGCAGGCCGTGTTGCTGGGGTCGTTGAGGCGTAAATGATCCTCATGAAGTCCAGGGAGAGAAGATCTGTTAACCTCTACCGTCATTGAGGACTCATGGCAGGTCACACGGGATTCAACTAGAGCAAGAGATAAATAGTTTACAAAATAAATACACATTACACTAATGGCTAGTCTACAGGTGGCAGTAACGCTCCAGAACAGACAAGAAGAAGACTGCAAAGCTAGTTAACAAAGATTTATATTGACTTGTTTGCTCCTTAAATATTGTTTCACCAAAAAGAAAGGTTTCAGTTCATATAAATTCAGGACATGCACAGTGTTTTTCGCCTACAGTAATGGGTTTGATTTGATCAAACACAACGGCCTTGCAAAAGTCCATGAAGCGACTAATGGAATTTAACATTTTGACATTTAACTTTTTCAGTTGTAGTTCTACTATAAAATGTTGACATTAAACAAAAATCGCTCTTACCTCGTCTTTTACCGATGTTCACCAGAACGCACCTCATCTCGGACTGATAGATGCCGGACCTGAAAAGCATCAGTGACCAAAGATTTATCTTGAACCATTTTCTTATTTTTTTTAAGGAGTAATGCCTGTTACTCATTCAGTAAGGCAGAAATGTCTTATCAAACCATCACAGGTGTTTGAATTGGAGGTAACTTCAACCTCATACTCACTAAAATCAATATGCAGATGATGTATTTGTTTATGTCAATGTCTCTGGCAGAAGCAATCATCAATTGGGATTTCTAACTTTTTAAACACATTTGCATCTGACTTCTGTATTCTTTAAATCCTAATATGATTCTTAGTCGTTCATAGCTTTTTAAGTTTTAAAAAAAATATCAAACTGTTACTTACTGTGGAGATTGGGTGACGTGCAAATGGTAACCGTAATAAATTGTGGTTTGAGGGGGGAGAGTAGAGGCGGGACTGTAAAATGTGTGAAAAGTGAAATCAATATTTAACACACACAAATGCATACTAAATGTATCAAATAGAAAATAAATGTAAGGCTCACTCACTCGATTACTGATTCAACAGCAAAGCAGATTGGGTAATGATCCCCCACATCATCAGGGCCAGGCGTCCACCTAATGACAAAGTCTCCATGTGTGCTTCTGTGCTTGGTGATATTCAGTGGCCCACTGATGATGATATCATGTAGTCTGTGTGAAAACAAAAGAAAGAAACCAGATATTTCCTCCTCATCGCTGAAGTTATCTCACTAGCAGAAATGCTGATAATGTTCTGACGATTCTCACTTACGTTGCATGTGAAGCTTGTGCTCGGACTCTGATCTCCACTTCTTTGTTGACCTCGGCATTGATGTGTTGTCCATTTTCAGGTGTTGGGTGCACAAACTTTGGCAAGTAGAGTCCATCAACACACGAGGGAGCAGGTGGGTCCACTGCAGTTAAAAAGTGCAACAGTTCTTTAAGAGTTCTTGATCAGTTCTTACAACCACTTTGTCAGTAAATGTGGCTCAAAACATCAAAGCTGTCACAGCAGATTATATTCATTAGCTGTCAAAGGCAAAATATCTACAGGTTAGGGTTTTGAAGAGGGAAATACAAAAATTGCTATGTTACAATTACGGCCTTCCACTAGTTTGTGCAGATTGTTGCAGAACGCTGTGAGGCCGTATTATTCCTGACATTTTACCGCACCCCCATTCATTTTCAAATGAAGCCCATCTTCAAAACCAGAATTGTTAGCTCCTTGATTCTGGCCTCTTGTTAAGGCACCGACACATAGACAACATTTTGAAAATGTTATAAAAAAACAAAATTCCACCAGATGGCGCTATAAAACACTTGAAAGAAATCAAAAACGACTGCTTCAAAATACGGCTTTGTAAATAAAAAACATTTAAAAAATCCAACAATCCTGGCATTTTTCCCGATTTATAAATTTCACAACCCTAATCCCTAACATTCCTATTTTTTTAACCTGAAAGAGCCGTTAATGTATTTGCATAAACCTAAGAAACCTAAGGAAAATCGCAAATCCATAATTGTGAGTCAACCTCACCTAAGGGTTAGGGTTAAGGCCCGGACACACCAACACCAAATAACTGACACAGACGGACCACCGACTGTTGTGTCGCCTCGCGTCTCTTCGTCTTGGCCATGTGTCGCACTGGAACACACCGCAAAGACTTCAGCCGACGGCCAAGAAGCAAGTATGAACTGCGCATGCGTGAGTGGCAATAACTCTCCTTACCAGCAGACAGCGGTAGTGTGTATTCGTCATTCAAAAGAGGCAACAACCGGAAGACAGACTGCGTGATAACCGAGAGAAGAAGAACAGACTGCGTGATATAAACAAACAACAAATAGCGTGTGCGTTCCATTTTCACTCTACAACGAGAAGCTCATGGGGCTTTCCCGAACCTGTGTCGAGAGCTGGAGTTAAATGAAATCTCAGATTTGCCTTCTTAATAGTTTGTTTGGGTCCCTCACTTCCGTTTTGCTTCTCATGCACTGATTCGCTAAGCTGAACAGCCAATCAGAGTGATTTCTTTTGCCGACTGCCTTTGGTCGACTGCCCACAAATTCGACATGTTTAATCGGTGGGTTTTCGGCCAAAAAGGTGTCGGCACGGCTGAAAAGACACAACGGTGCGGGACACACCAATCTGAGTAGGTCGTGTCGACTCATCGTCGGCCTGACGCCCATCGACGGCCAAAATCGGTTTGGTGTGTCCGGGCCTTTAGGTTTTCAGAACAACTAAAATGTCTCTATGCAGGTGTAGAACATGTACTTACTTCTTATGCTAAAGAATGTATTTAGAACCAAAATGTAGAACAAAAAATAAGACGTTGCACATTAAGTTGTCACTAGAGCTGCAAGAGGTGCATGACAGGTTACACCCATTGAAGGCAGTGCAGCAACAGCTTTTCTGTAAGTATGGACTGACTAATTGAGGACAAATAAAACCTGACTCACCAAGAAAGGAGAATTGCAAAGGCAGTTTACTGAGAGGAGGCGTGGTGCCATGCAGGTGTCGGTTGTCTGTTGTGGTTGGAGTTGTATGCAGCCACGGCCAGTATGT